AGGCATATTTGTAGTTATGGGGAGCCAAGGGGTCCTAAGTCCAGCCACGATGATGGCCTTGACCTGAGGCTGAACCCGGATTTTCATTCATTCATGAAGAAAGGAGTAGCTTGAGGATGAGTGACTGTGAGAATGGCAGGAAGTAGGTGAGTGCCCTGAGCTGGGCTGGGTAGGAGCCCTGAAATCACCTCTGCAAATGCAGAGAGAAGGCTACACAGAAAGAGTAATCTGCATAACACAACTGAGATAGAATCTAATGTTTTGGGGTCAGTGCTTCAGCTCTGATGTGTAATCTTTCAAACAAGGCTTGTTCCAGCCAACAGCGTGGAGCATTGGCTCCCACATCCCACCTCACCTGCCAGCTTCAAAGACCACCATCAGCACCTCGGCTGGACTGATATGCATTGCTTAAAACCAACTGAAGGGATAAGGAACATCCTAGTCAGCTCTGTATGTATCAGTACACGGAAATAGGGTCGGGCTCAGCCAAAATGGAGACAGTTGCTCCTCTTTCAAGGAGAGCTGCCCAGATGGTCCTCCATATTGGATGTAAAATTTTGTCAAAGAGAGAGATTTGAGGACTGCTGTAAAGGATATTAGGATTGGTGCCAGCAGCCTTTCCACCCTCACACTGTTTTTTTTATGAGCCCTGGGGGTTGGGGGACCCGGCTCAGGGACAGGCCTTGATTAATCTGAATTGAGAGGTGGTAACTCCCCAGGGTAGCGACTGGTTCCGGAATTTGGTCTTAGCCCACCAGAACACATTACCATGCTTATAATCTGGAAATAAGACACAAAGGAAAAGTCCTTGGAGGCTTTGGGGAAACACACTCTCACTTTTAAGAGAGGAAGATGATCTGTTTTCTTCTTGATATTGCTGTTGTGGTCAGGAACTGCTCTCTGTCAGAAGATAAAATTGATACTCCCAGGAGGCGGAGCTGAGGGAGGCGCAGACACGCGAGCCAGAGCTGCTGGGTTGAGCCCTGGGCTTGTGACACGAGTCAGCAAAGTACCGTAAGCTGGTTTGATTTGGGCTTCTGCTCTTTGCAGCCGAAAGCATCCTAGTTGCTGTGATTTTATGGTTCATTATTCTTTTAACCCCTGATTAGCCTCAGAGCGTTACCTTTTCTTTGAATTTAACAGTGAATATTAATCTATTCCATAGTTTTGCTGATAGCATCATTGCAAACATCTTCATTTTCTTATTGGAAGATTTCTCGGTATCTTAACTATGGTTGCTTTAAAACTTCTGAGGTGGTTTTAGCATCTTCACGCTTAGTACTGTTGCGCTTTTACTTAAATATGTGACAGTGCTTAACATTTAATTTCACGTCTACTGTATACATATTTCTGTGGACAATTGACTGGCAGAGAAGATGGGGCTTCGCTTGATTTGAGAGCAGTTACAGAGCAGTATGTTAGCAAAACCCAGTGACACGGGAAGGATCACGTCATTGTGCGAAAGCCAGGCGTTGAGGCAGGGGTGGACGTGGCTGAGCGGGGAGCCCGGGAGAAAAGGGCAGGACAGCGGAGTGGCGTCCTCTGAGAAGGCTGCAGGGCGACAGGGGCAGGGGAAAGGAAGTGTAGGGGAAACCGAAGGCCTGTGCTGAAGGAGCGGGGGCAGTGTCTGGAGCCCACGCCCGAGGGAAAGGCTGCCAGGCTGCTGGAGGCCTTCATCGCTGTCCTCCCCACAAGGGGTGTTGGAAGTCCCTCTGGCAGAGGTGCACAGGCAGTTGGATGCGGAGAGGCTGGCACCGCTTCCTGGGAAACCATTCCCAGTAACCACGCGTGAAACGGCAGGAGCTGTAGCGTAACAGGATCTGAATGTCTCCTTTCTTAGTTTTATATGGAATTTCAGAGCTCCCAAAGCTGCTCACACCCATTTTCTAACTAATTTGATCCTCCCGCCTTCTTTATGGATGAAGATACAGAGGGGTAGAGCAGTTACAGGACCTAATCGAAAGCTGGTAAACCTGCAACCTAGGTCTTTCGACCTCCCAATTCAGTGCTTTCCAGTAATCTTAATCTTTTCCATTTTTAGTGAAATTCCTCTTTTTTCTAAAAATATTACCTGTTTTAGGCCCCTGCTTGCTCATTTCTGTGTTTGCTAATTTTACAGTGTTCTACAGCACTTGTCTACCAACTGGCTCTTGAGTGCAGCATAAACAAAACTAAATGCTGCGACCAACAACTCCTATAAACATTGAAAACCTCTGAATAATGAAAAGATGGTTAAATGTCACCATCTTCTAAAACTTCCTCAAATAAGAGAAAGATAATATTTCTAACAAATGTAAAACAGAGAAGACTAGATCAGTGCAAAGCTCTGAAGTGTTTCAAATGAGTGGAGAGTGAGACTCGAAGGGAACCTCAAAACAGCTTTGTTGAACGCAGATGCTAAAGTTGCCCTTGTTTCTCTCCAGCAAAGGCAACCTGGCAAGAACTGGAGTTACTGCCTTCCAAGCCAGAGCCAGGAAAATGTGCATTTAAACAGGTGTTTTGGTACATATCGCCTTTTGTTTGAAATTGAATAATGATTAATGATGTAATGTTGGACACTTGTTCTTTGAGTTAGCTGTTCTCTGTGTATTCAGTAGACACTTGGAAGTCATGAATTTTTTCTCTTTTGTTGTGGTTTTGTTAAGAGAAAAATTTTAGGCAAATTTAATGAAGTTTAGTTGAACAAAAAACCAGTTCATGAATTGGGAAGCCCCCAGAATGAGTATAGGTTTAGTGAGACTCAGACTGCACCTAGCTGGATAACATTTAACACAAAGAGGGAAGTGTCAGGCAGGAAAGGGGAAGTGATGTACAAAAAATGAAATAAGGTACAAAGGCAGCACAATTGGTTAAAACTTGGCATTTTCCTTATTTGAACCTGGTTTGACTAAAGTTCAGCTGCTATGATTGCGTGAGACCCAGTCATTTTTATAAAGGCAAATTCCTGTTAGGTTCTCTAGTTTAGTACTGAGTTAGGTTGCAATTCCTTGTGCAAGAACTGGGGTGCATGGCTGAGAAGGTTTTCTCAGACCAAATTGTGTTTGCTTTAACGTGGTAAAAAATATATCATGAAATTTGCCATCTTAACCAGTTATTAACCTTCAGTGGTGTTAAGTACATTTACGTTGTTGTACAACTGATCTCCAGAACTTGCAGTTTTGAAACTTTGGACCCATTAAACAACTATTCCCTTTTCCCCTTCTCCCACCCCCTGGTAACTACCACTCTATTTTCTATTTCTGTGGATTTGGAAAGTCATGATTTGTTTAAAAAGTTAATTTCAAGAAACATTTGAGTGCATGCCAGATATTAAGTCTTATGTGATCTTGGACCTGGCCCAAAAAGAGATGAAGCCTAGAGGAGGGTCTCTACGGGCCTTTGTTCCGCTGGATTTGTAGGGATGTGCAAAGATAAGTCACCGTGAAGACCAGTGTCTAGTGAGTCTTAAGTGAGTGATGGCGACAGTAGATTCTGTGAGATGCTAGCAATACTATTGACGCTGTGGTGCTAAGTTTTCTTCCACCACTTGGCCCTGTCACCCTGAGGAAGGTACCGCAGAGAGATGCAGGTGCCGTATATCCTGGGGATATCGGGCACCAGACTGTGTGTGTTAACAATCCCTGATTATTTCTGAAAGAATGATGAAGAGGCTGTTTTGCTACATTAGCTTGGGTGTGATTTTTGTCTATTTTGAGATTCACAAGAGTTACTAAAAAAGCTTCCTTCGGGAAGAGTAGAGTGCCAGAGAAGAAGGGAAAATCCAATTGGCTTAATCCTTTGTGTTATCAGTAAAAGTGGAGCTGGGAAGCAGCCTTTTTCGGGCGCTTTCAGTCTCTGTCTGAAGGAACAGAGCTGCTGAAGGCTCCTTCCACCCCAAATAACTACAGCTAATGACTCTTTAGAGGATGCATAGTTCACAAGTTTTCTCAAAATATCTTGAAAACTACTTTAAGGAATTCTGTGTGGAAGCAAAAGAATAGACAAAGCTAAAACTTGTTCAGCCATATGATGAGGGTGTAGCAAACTGCAATCCAGTTGCATTTACCAGCTAACCTCCTCAGAAAGCTTCTTCCCGGGGTCTGTAGAACGTGCTGATAGTTGTGGTTCCCTGGAAGGTGTAGAAATCCACAAGGTAGTTTGGGCTGCCACAGAGGGGAGAAGGAGGTGAGGGAGAGGTGGAACTTCTGAGGTGTCAGAGTCCTGGATAACGTTCACATGCCACCTGGCACGCCCTGGTGAGCATTTCTTAACTTTGCTTTCAGGTTAAAATTACCTGGGGAGCTTTTAACCCTTGACCAGCTAAGTCAGAATCTCAGAATTTGGGGGAGGAAGCAGGCCTAGTCATGAAGTGTTTGTTTTGCTTTGTTTTGTATTTTAAGCTTTCCAGGTAATTCTGAAGTGCAGCCAAAAACCATTATAGCTATTTCAGTTCTAGGTAGTAATCAGCAGAAACATTTATTTAAATGTACATAAAACACTCCCTAACTTTGTATAAAATAAAATGCAGGTTTTCTCTCCCCAGCCTTCAAATAAGTAGGTTTCTCTCTCTTTTTTTTTTTCTGCCTTAGTTGCAAGTTTCCAAAGAAACAAATGAACAAATACGGAGAAAGACATTTGAAATCAGTCCCATGGTTTTCTTTAGGGAAGGGTGGAGAGAGAGGGTAGGAAGTATTGTTTATATGTATTTCAGGAAGTAGAAAATATGGCATGTGCTCAATCTATCTAAATTATGTAACTTTGCGGGATGTGGTCCATTTGTGTCAAAATAATGAGGCAGAGAATACGCTGCATTTAACATGTGTGGGAATTCTTTGCAGAGCAATTAGCATTCCTTTCTCCAGCCTGTATTCAGAGGAAACATACCATTCACACCCTCTCTCTGTTCACATTTTCCAGTGCGTTGGAGAGCTTTTTTTCAATAGAAATCTTTGTCCCCTTCCTAATAAGACTTGGATTAGATTTGAAGAAACTTAGCATATCCTTTTTTGTTTTTCTGGCAGGAATTGATTTTAAAATCAGAACGATAGAACTAGATGGAAAGAAAATTAAGCTTCAGATATGGTAAGTAAAAAAAAAAAACATACACAGTTTCTACTTTAATCAGGAATTAAAAATGGGAGTTAAAATGTGAATTATGACAAGTCAGAGGCTTTTCTTTATCAGAACCAAGGGGAAATGGGTAAGTACGAAGCCCCTTCAGAGTATCACCAGCAAGAGTGGAAGTGAGAAATGGTGCCACTTACTCTTGGAGCTGCAGGAGGTCTGGGAACTTGTTCTTCCCAAGTTCTAATTTTATACAGGAGGAAACTACATTGTAAAACATGTAAATTACTTCTTGGTGGCAGTTCTTGTAGCTGTAATCAGATAAGACAAAATGGTCAAGTGGTACAGACCTCTAGCATAAAGTGGAGATCTGGGTTACAGCCACAGTGCTCTAAATTGAGGACTTTGGGCCAGTTGTTTCTCTTCTATGTTAGTCGCCTCTCCCTCACTGTAATTAAATACCTAAGATAGGTAACTTGTAAAGAGAAGAGGCTTAGTTTGGCTCACAGCTTTGGAGGTTTCGGTTGCGGGTCTGGTGGACTCGTTGGCTTGTGCCTCTGAAGGGAGTGCCAGATGGCAGTGGTTGGGTGCACCTGGTAGAGCAAATGCCTCACTTTATGGGCTCAAGAGCAAGAGAGAGACAGGACAGGGCCAGTGTCCCACAGTTCCCTTAAAGGGCTTGCTCCAGGTGCTGTGAGGCCCGCTCACCAGGTGAAAAGGTTTTACCACCTGCCAATATTGCTTCCCTAGGGGCCAAGCTTTTAACAGATGGATCCGTATGTAAACTATAGCACTTCTCAGGGTCTGCTTTCCTCACTTGTGAATTGGTTGGATTGGTGACACTGGAGTTCGCCTCTCGCTCGGATATTTTATAATTTATTTGCATGTTTCTTCTCTTTAAATAGAAAAGTTAGGACTGTTTGACTACTTAAGGAAAAAATAAGTCATACTTTCTCCTAATTAAGCTCCTCTGTATTAAAAAAATAAAGTCAGACCCCATGGTACATATCTGCAGTCCCAGTACTCAGGAAGGTGAGACAGGAGGATGTGGAATTTGGGGGCAGACTGGGGTACACAGTGAGATGCTGTCTCAAAAAAACAAAACAAAATGTTCTTGTCTTATACAACACAATACTTCTGATGCCAGATGTGTGGGTTTCTTTCCCTCATATACCAAGCCATTCTCCAAATGGGTGTTCTGTAATTGAACCCAATTCTGACTTCCCTCTTAGAAATAGCATAGGTCCCCAGGTCGAGCACTCCGTTGCTCAGTCTCCTTTCTAGTGCTGATGTCAGTTGCAAGCAGGAAGTGGTTACCTGTACTTCCGACTTTTAATCAAGGATCCCACAACCCTGTCCTGGGGTCGGACCACAGAACTCAGAGACACAGTTCCTCAATCATTCATTATAGGTCAGGGGGACAGCCAGATGGAAGAGATGTGCGAGGCAAGCTCTGTGGGGAGGGTTGTGGAGTGCCCGTGCCGTCTCTGGATGTGGCATCTCCAGTGTTCCGGAGCCCAGAAGCTCCCTGAACCCTGTCCTCTGGGTTTCCTGGCGACTTCACTACAGAGCCATGATCGACTACATCACTGGCCACTGGTAGTCAGCTCAGCTCTTTAGTCCTGCTCCCGTCGCTTAGGATTGGTTGGTGGCACTAAAGGTTCCCAGCCCCCTAATCGCAGGGTTCTTCTCTGGGCAGCCAGCCCCCATCCCGAGGCTATCCAGGAGCCCCAGCACCAGCCATCCCATTAGCCTGAAAAGACATCACTGCATCACTTCCGGAGATTCCAGCAGATGTGGGAGCTGTATACCAGGAAGCAGAGCCAGAACCCAAATACATATTTCTTCTTGCATCACACTATCACAGTTCTTGTAGCAAAAGTACCATAGACTTGACATCTTAAACAATTGATGTGTGATCAAAAAATACAGTTAGTGTTTAAATTAAAAACTTATTACATAAAAGAAACATTGCCATTCATCCCCTCCGATCCCCCCTCGTTTCAAGCACACTTATCCCAGCATTCTTGCCACTTTCTAAGGCATTTCCGGAAATCCTCTTTCTTGGGCGTCTTTTCATGGCTGCTGCAACATCTTGAATTGATTCAGAACATTTATGGCAATTTATGTCAAGTGAAAGCCTTACAGTGTGTCTTCACCTCACTTGCTCACCAGACCTGGCATTGTGCAACTTCTGGCTCTTTCCCCAAATTAACATAACGCACAAGGTAAACCTTTGGAATCAACGTGACAGCTAAGACAGCACAACTAAAAGCACTCACAAAAGGGGACTTCCAGTCTGCTTCAGAAGGTGGTAGGAGCAAGGAGGAGTACTTCCAGGGGGTTAGTGGCAATATGTCTTTTACTATAATAGGTTTTTTGAAAAAATTAAGCATTCATTGTATATTTTGATCACACCTCATATTTCTCACGTTCTAGAGTCCGAGACATCCCAGATCAAGGTGGCAGCTGATCCACAGTCTAACAGAGAGGGTGTCCTTCGTGGCTTACGAACAGCTTCACATGGTCCAGATAGAGGCCCTCTCTCCGATGTCCCTGCTTTTAAGAACACCAGTTCTTAAAAAAACCATGATCAAAGGTCCCCTCTCCAAATACATTCCCATTGAAGATTGGGCTTCCAGATGGAATTTTGGAGGAACACATACATTAGATCTGTGTCTCCCATCTCTCATGTTGGAGTGTACAAGGCAACGATTTACTTACTTCGTACAACTCTGGCTGGCAAATGGCTGAAGAATTTGTCAAACTACAAGGAGTAAATGTGGTACTTTCAGATTGCCAAGCCAAGTACTTTTTACTTGGACCCAGAAGCTCCTTTTAGTTTTTTTTTAGACCTCCTAGAAATAAGTTTAATTTCTTTCAGTGTGATGCCTAGGATGGAGCCATAGAGAGCTGGAGCCTTGAGGAAGATTTTAGATAATGTTTGCTGATCTAAGATGTAATGACAGTGGTGGACAAAACTTAGAAATTTAGAACACTGCAAAGTAAGAAACGGGCAGGGCTACATATAAAGTACAGACTTCATATTCCTTATGAAATGCTTAGGACCAGAAGTCTTTTGGAGCTCAGATTTTTTTGAGATTTGGGGATATTTACATATACATAATGAAATATCTTCGGGGTGGGACCGAAGTCTAAACACAAAATTAATTTTTTCATATACTTTATACACTGTGAGGTCATTTCACACAGTATTTTAGATATAAAACAAAGCTTTATGGTATGGAGTTTTCCACTTGTGGTATCATGTTGGTACACAAAAAGTGCCAAGATTTTGGAGCATTTCAGATTTTTTTTGTTTTGTTTTGTTTTGTTTTGTTTTGTTTCCGGTACCGGGGATTGAACTCACAACCTTGCGCTTGCTGGGCAGGCGCTGTGCCGCTGAGCTAAATCCCCAGCCCCTGCATTTCAGATTTCTGATCCTCAACCTACAGTATATGTCAGCTTTTCCTATAGGATTTTGTTTGTTTGTTTGTTTTCCGGTACTGGGAATCGAACTCACGACCTCACCCTTGCCAGGCAGGCGCTGTGCCGCTGAGCTAAATCTCTATCCCTTCCTGTAGGATCTTTTTCTTCTTTGAATCTCAAAACTGGGATAGAATTAGAATGTTTATTAAAGTCCTCTGCCCTTCTTTTGTTGTTGAGTTCATCAAAAGGCAGATGTCTGGGTTACTGGTAGTGCTGGGACAGTCACTGAAATCTCCTGGGATGTAGTGTCAGCCTCATGTATTAACCTGATCTGGCGGTTCCCTGTGTACTTCACTGGAAGCATCACACAGGCTGCCCTTGTCATCTAGTGGTATTTAGTGTGAAGCCTAATATTTTAAAGCTGTAAAACAATTTTTATGAGAGGGAAGCAAGGAGAATTTCTGATGCTTTGCTGCATAGTCCTGACCATAGCAATAAGGAGTGCCTCTGGGAGCCTGTGGGTGGTCACCTAGTAGAACTTCATCCAGCGTAGCTGCAGTGGAGTATGGTTTGTCCCCCGAGGGTCCGTGTGTTGGAAGCGTGGTCCTCTGTGTGGCAGTGGGAGATGGAATGGAATCTGAAAGAGGTTCATCCAAGTGGGGGGACCTTAGGTCACTGGGGGTGCCACCCTCTGAAGGGAATACTGGTTTTCCAGTGAGTTCTCACAAAAGCCCACTGTTATAAAAGCATGAACCTGAGTTGCTCTCTCGGGCTTCCTGTCTTGAGATGGGCCCTTTCTCCCATTCATGTTTCTACCACTGTTGTCTGCCATGAGGTGATGCAGCCAGCAGGGTCCTCACTGGAAGTGAGCTGATGCCAGTGGCGTGCTCTTGAGCTTCCAGAACTGTAAGCTAAGTAAACCTCTTTTTTCTTTATAGAGTAACCTGCCTTGGACAGTTTACTATGGTAATGCAAAACGGGCTAACCCGGTAGCCAAAGCATTATGACCCTGTCTGTCCTCTCAGTAGACCATTCAGACCTCACAGCCCCATTTAGTGTAATACAGATTCTTCTTTATCCTCAGCACAAAGCTGGGTCTAAATCAGTCAAGAAAATATGGTTCCCTGGTCAGTGTTGCATGGCTTCTGTTTTCCCCGTGATTTGTTTGCCAAGCTTAAAGTAAGGACCCCAAACATTTAATCCTGAGCAGCGAGAGAATAGGAAACTAAGGCTCTTTGCGAAACGGATGCTTGAGTCTCACTCAAGGGATGAGCTAGTTAGTGGCAGAGATGGGAGCCTGTTTCCTCTTTGCAGAATGAGCACAATGGTAATAGGGCCCCCTCCTTGTGTGCACCTGGCTGGGATTGCATCGTGTGAGCACATTGTGAAAGTATTTTGTAAGTAAACATAAATGTTACAGTATTTATTGTTTTTAATTTACTGTGTTTCCCTTGGACTTTCATTCCTTGTTCAGACTTAGTGTGTATTCTTTCTCCCTTGCAGTTAAGTTGTAGGAAGTGAATTAGTCCTGGCTCTAAGTAACAAATTTGAGAATATTGATTTCCCCAAACCTCAAGGAAATCTGACTTCCTTTATGGGATTGCTGCTATAAGTGTAATTAGAAACTTTTAAAAACTGTTTATCCACTTGTTTATTTTTACAGTGCTGGGGATTGAACCCAAGGCCCTTGTGCATGCGAGGCACTTGCTGTATGACTGAGCTGTACTTGCAGCATTTCAGAATATATTTTAACAAAGTCTTATCAGCTAAAAAGCAGGAACATATGGAGGTTTATGTATTTTCGAGGTGGTCACTCATGTTTAAAAGTCTTGACATTGTCAACAGTGATGTCTTGAATTTCAGGCTTCTGTGTAACCATGGCCTCTACTGCTGAAAAAGTTCTGGAAGCGATCTATTTTATTGTGCTCTACTGAGCAGAATGTACACAGTACTAAGTCCAGTTCAACTATTTGCTTTGTGGAGAAATCACATAAGTTCAGTCAAGAAAGCAAAATGCCTTAATTATAAAGCACTTAGATAAAGGATTATTGCCACCTCTGGGAGTCCAAGCACTTAGAACTATTCTCTATTTCCTCCCACATGTGTTTGACGAATATGACATGCCAGTTCCTAGCAGGGCCTGAGTGTTTTCCTGTTGCTGCTTTTAACATCAAGGTCCAAATTTTTCATCCAAGTCGCTGTCAGCTCTGACAGGCCCCTGTGGCCACCGCTGCCTCCAGCTGGAAGATGCGCAGCGGGCTGCCTTCATGTTTCTGTTCCCTTCTGCCCCGCACCCAGCGTGCTGTGGGCAGACCCACGTCCCGTCACCTCCAGCTTAGGGCCACTCCTCAGTGATGCTGATGATGCCTTTTCAAACTGCTCTCTCCTTTGTTTCAAATTTTAGGGACACAGCAGGTCAGGAAAGATTCCGAACAATCACGACCGCTTACTATAGAGGAGCCATGGTGAGTGTGTTTTAGGGTTTTGTAACTGTTCAGGTGAAAGTAAAACGTGGATATTCATTTGCCCAGAGTATAGCATGCTAGCTGGAGTCCAGTACAGTAGGTGGGTGGGGAAAACATCTTTTAAATGTGAAAACAAGACATTTTAAAGATTTTTTAAATTATGTTTTGTGTTTAGTAACTACATTTTGCTGTTGATCTAATAATTAGGCACTTAGCTTGTAGATTTTCTAGAACTTCACATTCTAAGGTGTTTGTACATTTTTGTGTATATTTTTTGCATTTGTGTGTTTTTCTTTTGTGAATTACTTGTGACAATCTTAGCAAACCACATACCTTGTGACTAAGGGTTCGTTTCTTATACTCTGCCCACTCCCATCCCCTCTTCCCTCTCACCACCCCCAAGATACCCCCTCTCACCTCCCCCACAACCTCCCCTGTTCGTGGCTCATCTTTCTGGAGTCTCCTGTACCAGAGGGGGCTTGGGCCTAAGTTAGTTAGTCTAATGAACACAGGGCCGGAGACCGCTCATCAGGCTTTTGTGATAGCAACTAGGCGTATGGTTTAATACCTGGGTGCAGGCAGGCAGGGAGCGATAAGACTGTTCGCCCTGAACAAAGAGAAGTGCGTCCCTTTTATAGGGATGGAAAGAAGGCAGGGGACATTAGGTGGAAAGATTTTAGTGAACATCTGTGGTCAGAGTTCTCTGGCAGTCTTGCACCTCAGTGGGCAAAGTGCTTCAGGTGGCTGGTGTAAACTTCTGGGTGTCTCCAGAAGTCCCCGGGGCCTGCAGAATTCCTTGTCCTGTCTCATCTCCTTCACATCCTGTGCTTGCTGATGAGTTCCCTGCTGAGAGTGGTGTTCCTGCTGGCTGGCGGGTTGGGGCTGGGAAAGTCAGTTCTGATCGGAGCCTTACAGGTAGGCCTAAGCCAAACCCAAACTGGAGCCTTGGATTATGATGAAACCCAGTATGCTCAGAGAGTCTTTGAAGGTCGAACAGTTGAACTCAGAGTCCAACCTGACCAATTTTAGCATTCCACCTGCCATCATACTCATTGCTTAAAAGGCTGTGGTACTCCTGGCAATGTTTCCAGGGTGACAAAGTGTAAAGAGGTGATGGCTGTCCCTTGCCTCTAGAAAGATATGGGCTGAATCCACAGATTTCTCCATATCATGCTGTCCTCCCTTCTTTCTCCATTGTTGCTTGTCCATTAGTATTTGAGTGTCAGTAACTCCTCTCTGCAGAGAGAGTGAGGATTCCTTTTTAAAGCTCCGGCACACCACTGACCATTTTATATGTATGTATTCTCCACAGTCCACCCTATGATACTTTAAGATTGTAGAGAGTTACTATTTTTATAAGGACAGTTGTAGCTCCTCTCTGTTTTGCTTAGATTGGAACCAGAGGGAAGGGACTTACTTTGTGTGCCAGGAAGGCATGCGTTAGTTGTTTGTTTCCTCTCCATGGTGGATTTTAGGAATAAAAAGAAAATCTTAACAGGGATGGTTTGGAGTAGTTTACAGGGAATTCTGATTAGAAGCACCGTAGACGCAGAAGCTTTTCTAGGAACCAGTCATTTACCTTCTGGGAATGGTGTGTCCACATCATTTGCACACTTGTTTTCACTAGAGAGCAGGCAGGAGCACTCAGAGTGGGAGCAAACGTTGCACTTAGATGTCTAGCTGTAGTTTGTGGTCTGAGGAAAGAGGCCATTAAATGTGGTATTTAGTTTAGACTTGAAGATTATGTCTTTACATTAACCTTCTGCCTAATCTTCCTTCACATTACTTGAAGTAACTGGAACAGTATTGCTGTTCTAGGTAGTACTATCTTTTGCATTTTGAAGGTAGGGATTTTTGTCTCATTTTGCCTGACAGGGCGAATCAGTGGAAAATTTCAAACCTAGAAACAATCCTAGAGAAGTCTCCAGGAATTGCTGCTGTCTGGCAGTCTTGGATCTCTCAGGTCATGTGCTCTAGGGAAGTGGGGAGCCATTGTGTTTTCTGTGGGGTACACCGTTCTCAGCCTGCTTGTGGCAGGTTTGATTTGGCTGGTTCAGGTGTTAGGTCTGCACCATGGCAGAATTCTCTGCTCTGTGATAGACACTTCAGCAGCTTCACAGGCCTAGCACTAATCCTGGTGGACAGTCAGGCTTTGGGATAAAAAGGACAGTATCATCACATCATCAGGATTTCTTATTGACCAACACCATCTTCTGAATTCTTAGGAAGCTGTTCTTGTTGAGGTCTGTACTACTAGATTTGTAAAATTTTAACTGATATACTTAATTTGTAGTTTCAGCTGATTCATATTAATGTCACTTAGCTTACAAACATAGGAAGTAGTTTAACGGCTTTTATTATTGAAACCAAAGATATAAATTAATAATAGCTATCATTTATTGACTTGAAGCTACATCTTGGGTTCTAATGAAGTCACTTATAAATAATAGTTTAGTAGATTCTCAAATCAATGCCATGTAGAAGATGTGTTGTCCTCCTTGTCCTCTAGGACCAAGGATAATAAGATACCATCTCCAGGACCACCCTGTTAATACAAGGTAGAATCTGAGCTCGAAGCTTCTGACTTCAGAGCCTGTGGGCTTCACACCACGCTCTTCACATTTCCTGTGCTAACCAAGCAAGGGGAAACTCTGTAACAGACAGCATGTACATGATCAGAATTACTCATAAAAGCCCAAAGAATGGCAGAGCTATTAAAGTTTGGTTAAATTTTATACTATAATCAGGTATTTTGCATCAGGAATTATTCAGAATTCACATTTTTTTTATTGTGGTAAAATACACACAACATAAAATTTGCCTGTCATTTTAAGCATACAGTTTTCCACTTTGATTTTTTTTAAAAAGAAAATTATTTTCATTGAGATAATTATAAAATCTCCTTTACAGTGTATAGCCAAAGTGAAGCGTTTGCATTTGAGGCGAGAAGGAGAGAGGATATTACTTGTCATTTAAACAATTCTATGTATACATAACAATTATATATAATTACAATTATACACATATTTCTTTTCTTTCCTTTTTTCCTTTTTTTGAGACAGAGTGTCACTTTGTAGTTCAGGCTGGTTTTGAACTCATTGTGTAGCCCAGCCTGGCGTTGAACTTGCAACGATCCTTCTGCCTCAAACAATGATATATTTTTTCTGGTTGTAAATAAAAATAGATATACATAATACAGAAAACTCGAATATCCTAAGAAATCTTCCAAAATTCTACCACTCTGACAGATATCCTTTGTTAATGTTTTATTTCCTGGATTCTTTTGTCTGTGTGTATTTTCTATGACTTGTATTTATTTACATTTACATTCAGAGTTGAAAGCCAGTCCCTGAAGGACTTTGCCTACCAGGCTAAGGAATTTTAACTTAATTCTGAGTGCAGGGGAAAGGTAAAATGGTAATAGTGCCCTGTGGAAGAGGGAGTAGAGGGGCGAGGAATGAAAGCAGGGAGGCAGCTGAAGACTCTAACAGTAATCCAGGTAAAGGCTAATTGATGAGACTCTGAATAGGGCTTTGTCTGTGAGGTGAGGGGTCAGAGTCTGGAAATACTGACTGTCGGGTCTGCGGGACTTGCCGGCTGGCCGTGGATGGGGAGATAACCTCCAAGGGTCTGTGCCGCTGGCTGGCTGCAGATTACCTTTCACTGAGCGGGAATGCGGGAGGGAAAGAAGACTCAGGAAGGGACTAAGACAGGCTCATAGTTTACTTAGTACTGTTAGCTATGCAACAGCCGAGATCCAGACGGTGGGCCCTAGAGACATCTGGCCCCGTCTCCCTTCCTGCCCCCATTTGGCCTGTCTCCTGTCAGGGCTCTGCAGTCTCGCCAGGCTTCCTTTCAGGAGTCCCTTGGGCTCCGGGCTTCCATGTCAGTGAGATGTTTATAACATTTCTACTCTTTGCCAGGTGCTGTGGCAGCTTCACTTCTTCAAACCTAACTGCTTTGCCCAGCTTAAGTCTGCTCAGCCCTCAGGCCTTGGCTGTAATACTATCTCAGGGAAAGAAATATGTCAGGGAAGCCTGCTCTGACCACTGCAGCCTCCCAGCCAGCTTAGATTACATCGCTGACATCAGAGCCCAGAACGCCCTTGCTTTTTCACAGCAGTTTTCAATAATTAGATATTATTGGTTCGTCCTCTTTTTTCCTTGCTAGCCATCCACGAGAGGAAGGAACGTTGACTATCTTGTCCACTGCTAGTAGCATCTAGTATAGTATGAGGTATGGTATTTAAGTACTCACTAAGTATTCTGTTGAATAGATGGACGGATGAGTGGATCTAGCACTCAGTGCCAGAGTGTGGTCTAAGGTTATAGATTCTAGTCTAGTTATACCCAGGTGTTAACTTAACATCTCTAAGTTGAACCTTTTGGAAATACCAGACATGGGAGCTTCAAAAATATGACTGCAGTGTTTTTAACTAAACCCATGTAGCTAATATTTTAAGTGCCTATGATTTATCTAGATAAATGATAGCATTTTGATCAGGCTATAAAGAAATAATTTTAAAGCAGTATCATTTCAATCTTAGTGAAGCAGTAAAAGGCGCAATTTTTATGTAGAATAAAGTGAACAGTGGACGTGATTCGCTCTCTTCTTACTCTCATCTCTGTTTTAATGTAAACTTGCCTTCAGCCACAGTTGGTGCTGATGGTTATCCCATGAGATCAGGTAGAAAGGGTGTATCAGCTTTACCACAATCTCTAATTCATTGAAGGTTAATGACAGACGAAGATGTTAACAGATTTTTTATTTATTTATGCAGTGACACAATGGAAGAATTTATTTTTGTTTTTCTGTAATGTCTGAATTCATTATGAATCCCTTTTTAAGATGAAAAAAAGGACAAATAAAAGGTTTTTGGAAGGAAGGACTACACTGACATTATTTACTACAAGTGTATAAAGGGCGATATAAAGACTTACGTTTCTTCTTATAGGGGATTATGCTGGTCTATGACATCACAAATGAAAAATCCTTCGACAATATTAAGAACTGGATAAGAAACATTGAAGAGGTACGGATGGAGGAGAGCAGTGGTGCTGGAGAAGACCCTGTAGTACCTCACAGAGGCTCCTTCTGTCTCTGGCAGAGGCGCTTTCTCTGAGACGCAGGGCAGCCAGGCTGGGTCCCCTTTCCACCCGTACAGGCCGGGCCAGATCTCTGGCGTGGCCAGCCTGACTGCTGTGGGGTGTGCACAGAGGAACAGTTTCATAGCATTTACATTTGGGCTAGATCTCAACAATAATTTAATCCAGTCCCCTTTCTACACACAAGGAGACTCAGATCAGAAAGAAGTGACTTGCCAGTGTTCGTACAGCCTTTACACAGGAGATCCAGGCCTGTATTCCCAGCACTCGGAAGGCTGAGGCAGGAGGATCACTGCAAATTTGAGACCAACCTGGGCTGAGACCAACTCAACAAAATGAGTTCAAGGCCAGCCTGAACTGTGAAATCCTGTCTCCAAAAAGAAAGAAAAGAAAGGAGATCCAGAATTAAAACACCAGACTCCCAGATTCTATTTATTCCATGAAAATATATCTTTGGCAACTTTTTTCCCTTCTAACATTTTCTCTAGTTTAGATATTTGAAATTTGGCTTAATTCCAGCAAAATTGGTATTAAGGGTTTTTTTTTTTTTTTAATGTCTGGTAGTTTAGAAAGAAATTTGACCCTGAAATAACTTTTTACATATTTATACTAGCCCATATAAATTTTTTTTAAACTCTTCAGAATCCAGCATACTTTTTCCACTGGGTCACTCAGTACTAAGTTTTTCCTCTTTATTTGACCCAAACAAATATTTGGAGGTTTTACTGTTAGACAACTATAAGCTTTATTTTTGTTTTTTCATGTTTTTTTTTTTTTTTTTTTTTTAAAAAGAATGACTGGGAGCCCTTAGGGCAAAAGTATGTATAGGCTCTGTCAAAGGTCTAAACTCTGGCATTTTTCCTCCTCCCATCTTTAAACTTTTCTCTGAGTCAGCCCTTGTATTGAATGAAAGATTATTTGTCTTATTATTAAATACCTTGACGTATTTCTGACAGGTCAGGGGTTTCCTGATGAATAACTGCGGTCTTTCTCAGGCTGTTTAATAGCACACTATTTTCTCTCTGCAGCATGCCTCTTCAGATGTTGAAAGAATGATCCTGGGTAACAAATGTGATATGAATGACAAAAGACAAGTGTCGAAGGAAAGAGGGGAGAAGGTAAATTTAAACAGGATGGATAAAAGTTGCAATCAACTGGCATTAAACATTCATTTTCTTAGGGTTATGTAATTGTTGGTTTAAGTTTTAAAATGCCTACGTTTTAATCCTTTAAAATTGGACACCACCAACAAAGAGATGTAACTCATACTTGAATGGTGTGAATTAGTATTCAGAATCCAACTCCATATACTGTGTGGTCATGACTCACTCCTAAAGAATTTGCTAATGTTTTCTGGGAGATACAAATTGGTCCTTTAAGATTCTTGCAACTTAAGAGTTCAAGCTCTTCCAGATCTGTGTGAAGAGCCCAGTTTTGGGTTTAAAATAATTCATTCTCTTTGAAAAAAACAACGGGATAGGTGAAGTTCAACAGCAATCATGTTCTGGTTCATATTTCTTTCTAAGAGTATTTTACTATATATCAGATTTAGGTCATTATGGATCAGACTATAGATGTGTCATTTGTAGGCTTTTTTCTGTTTTGTGTCCTATAAACTAAAAGCTTACATTTTTGTACATATTTACTTCTATGGCATTTTCTAAGTTCACCTAGAGGTTTCACTTTTTTAAGTTTTGGAATTTTGCTTTGGTCTTTTTTTTCAGTGATACTTGCAAGATGCATTTTGCAATACCTGACTGCAAACTTTCCCTTAAAAACATTTGCTTAGTGCTGTAAATGACCTGGGGAGTCCTTTGAGGATAGATAGCAACATGGAAGAGTTCACAGGATGTGTCAGTTAATAGAAATCAAAGCAGTGAGGTACTTTAGTATTCTTGTCCTGTTAGGGACCCTTTCACATTAAAAGTCAGCGTAGTAACTGGGAGGATTGTACTTTTGAAGCAGATAAGAGGGACAAATGACTCTTAAGTTAATGGTAAGGGAGGGAATTCATCTCATAGATTTTCTTATATATTAGGGAACTAAATGTAGAACAAAGAAAAATATTGACATTTTGTTTGAAATGAAATTTGTGCTACTTTTACAGTTAAATTATTAAATTTCATTTGTAATAGTTAAGGAAGCAAGGAAATTTGAAAACCACAGTAGTTGTGATATAGATAGAGAGCCTACTTTGGGGACTTTGAAAAAACCTTAGAAAAGCTTTATGGGTTAAACCACTTTCACTGAATTTACTGTTCGTGTTTGCCTTTCAGTTAGCAATTGACTATGGGATTAAGTTCTTGGAGACCAGTGCCAAATCCAGCACGAATGTGGAGGAGGTAAGGAAATGTTTGGTGACTTGTTAGGTAGTGGGACCAATGGTTCTCAGAGCTTTGGTATTTTGTGACCTAGGGGAAGCCTTTTTGGTTGCTTTGTTGGTTTTTGGCTGCTTGGTTTGTTTTGGTGCTGAGGACCGAACCCAGGGCAGCAGGCTTGATAGGCAAGCGATCCACCACTGAGCTAAATCCCCAGCCCAGGAGAGCTTCTCGCTGACCCACCTCGGAGCATGCTATGCACTGTTGTGCCTCTGACTTACATGTGGACTCTGGTTGCTGAACTTTGAGCATCCAGCCTCCACACGGGCAATATTAGATCACTCAAGTAAGGGTCACTGAACAGAGGCTAGAAGTTCAGTTTAAGTTCAGTGTAGTCCTTTGTTTGGGAAGCTGGAGATCCTAGACTAGAAAGCCAAGCAGTGTCCCCTGCTCGTTTGTCATCATTCATGTCACCCTCTAGGAGCCAGTAGCAGATGAGTTAAATTACTTCCATGTCTGTACTGTCTCAAGAGAGACTCAAACTGTTAGGTTATTGAACAGATTCCCTTTGTGTATACACTTGAAGTAAATTAAGCACCATACATTGTAACATTGTAGCATTTAGTAGAAATGAGAAAGTGTGTTTTCTCAGGGAGTAGCTTTCGTAAATTTTCATTAAGCTAGATGTTGAAGAAAACCAGATCATTTGTAAAGTCTTTTAAATTTTTTTTACTAAGGGCAAATTGTTGAAGATAATTTTTCGTTTAAAAACCATTTTTAAACTGATCATAAAATAATACATTTAATATGTATAATATGTGTAATTTGCTCACTAATGCTGATAGTCTCCTAAATACTGATTTTTTTTTGGCTACTGTCCTAACATAATGGCTAAAACTGGAAACTGAAATGACTTTATTGGTCAGTGGACACTAATCAGAACCTTTTCTTTGTTTTAAATAACACTCATTTTTTTTCAGGTTGGCTGATGGGTGTTGGGAAACAGGAAGTCTGCACTGATTTATTTATACAAGCATAGTTGAGTGGAAGAATACTTTCTTCGGCTTGCTGAAGAAGATTTCCCTCTATGCTAAAGGGCGGCTTGAGCAGTGGAGATAGAGAAGGGGAGCTCAAGGGGGTGCCCGTGTAGTGTCCTTCCACAGGGAGAGCCATTACCCTGGCTTTATGCAACAGGCTTGGTCTCTGAGTACCTGCGTTTCAGCAGCAGCTACTGCGTACAGGGAGCCCGCATTTTGGAAGTACGAAGCTGGGAGTTGCCTGAGCTGCTTATTGCGGATGCGTGTCACGGAGAAGTTAGCAATTTCTTGAGCTTTAGTCTGGTTAGCCTCATGAAAGCTAAGATAGGCTTCCTTAGAAACTCAAAGATGACCAGTGTGATGGTGCCCGCTGACAGTGAGAGATTCTTCTATTGTTTCTGTGTAATTGGGTTGGAAACGATCCTTTTCCTGAGCAGTTTTTGGGGATCAGGAGTGGGTGGGAACAACAAGGCAAACATAAAGGTGGTTCTAACATGGAGCCAGTGGAAGACACTTTTAAGAGTTCTCGGCTCTGTAGAAAAAAAGTAAGTGATGATAGGTTTTTAAAATACTTAGTTTGGGCCCGGTATGGTGGTACACGCCTGTAATCCCAGCACTGAGAGGAGGCTGAGGCAAGAGGATTACTGCAAGTTCAAGGCCAGTCTAACTACATAGTCAGACCCTGTCTCAAAAAAAAATTTTTTTTTGGTTTGAGTCAGGATCCTATAGATAAAGTATTTGCCAGATTTGTCAGGTTTGTCCTGCTTCCATTTGAACTGAAATGGAAAACTGCTGGGGACGAATTTAGCTGCGTTGCATCCAGCTAGTGTCGAGATTTTGGAGTATGGAGACACGGATGATAAGACTTGCCCAGGTATGACCTCAGCAGAGGTCAGAAGCAAAAGAGATTTTTGTGAAGATAAATTTTAGAGTTGCACTTACTCATTCAGTAAACAGATACTAGCGTCCCCTAGACCAGGCACTAGGCCTTCCTCTGGGAGAGTGAGAGTGCTTAGACAGAGCCGCCACCCTGTTCTCAGTGTACTGAGGAAGCTGCTCCTAACACAAGTCGTGAAGGGGACCAAGAGTTGGAAGGAGCAGGGAGGGATGGGGCGGTTAGGGGATGGAAGAAAAGAACTGAGATGTGTTATGTACATGTGCCAACTCATTGCGATAAATGTGGTCATTATGTACTAACAAAAATAAGAGAAAAAATTAGGAGAATTGACACTTTAAAAATGACAACAAATGTTGTAACCAGTATATACCAGTATATTGTTATAGAACGTAGTATATATATTTAAAAAATTTTTTGTGGTGCTGGGAATCAAATGCAGTAAAATCTTTTTTAAAGTAAAAATAACGTGAGTCATATCGAGAGCTGGTGCCAGGTCTTACATGCAGAGAACATTTGCTGAATAAGTGAAGGGCAGCTTGGTAACATTGGAAAATGCTTGTTACCTAATTGAAAAAGAAGCTACAGTGTCCGTGAACATACTGTGATTTCATTTATGTTCTTTTCAGTTAAAAACTCTGAAGTAATATATTTATGATGAAATAATGAAAATTTCCATGTTTCTGTTTGAGATATTATAAATATACAATAATGAATTTTTTGTTTTACCTTTAGGCATTCTTTACACTTGCACGAGATATAATGACAAAACTCAACAGAAAAATGGTTTGTATCTCTTAAAATTTTCGCATTATTCGACATTTGATATAAAAGCTAAGCATGACCACAACATACTCATAAACTCTTCTTCTCCCGACACAAATACTCGTCGGGTTGAACTTTGATTCTTACTTCTGTTTCTTTAGGATTCCACTTGAGAACTGCAGTTGTTTAGCTCTTTCATCTGACCTTCAAGTGTTCTGCAATTGAATTTTGATCAAAATAATGAAAATAATAACGACACAAATTACATTTTTGTTATGACATAAACTTGCATAGTTTATTTTGTGCAGCAGTTATAGAGTTATAATCTTAAAGTTGCTCAAATTTTCTTAGATTGGAAAGTATCTCGATGAGTCTTAAGGAAAATTTTGAAAGTTTGTTTTAGCCGGAGTCCTGTCAAAAATTATATGTATCATATTACCGACTCGTCTTACCTCAAACAGAACTGTCTCCAGCAGTGTCTTAGCATTATTTCCAAAGCTACCCTTGAAACCTTACACTCCATTGGTTATAATTTCTTTGAACTGGAAATAACAGCTTCCTACCCAATATATTATTAAAATAAAAGCACTATCCTACGAACATTTTTCTCCTTTTAATCTGCGATTTCCAAAGAGAAAGATGTTGGAGCTTAATTAGTTCTCCTTCTAATAAAATACTCTAGCGAGTACACATTTCACTAGAATGTACATTTCACATGGTGTGGTTTATTTTCATGTTTTAGGTAATGGGGGTCAAAGCATGAAACTTCCATTTCCTTGGTAACTTTATCTTCCGTATTTTAGAATGACAGCAATTCGTCAGGGGCAGGTGGGCCAGTGAAAATAACAGAGAACCGATCCAAGAAGACCAGCTTCTTCCGCTGTTCGCTGCTTTGATGAACTCTTCGTTTCTGAGAGACTGCAGCACACCTAGAGGGGCCTCCCTTGCTTCTCTGAGAGCACAGGTCCCCCATCCTCAGAGTCACCCCGCCCGGCTGCTGCGGAGACTACCACTAGACTTAGACGTCTGCACACAGAGTGCCCAGCGGATTCCAGCTTCGTGTCCTCAAAAAAAGAACAGGCTCCTTTTTTCAAACACGGAAGCGATGACATGGAGACCCGTGCAGGACCTAACTGGTCTTTCCTTTCCTACTGCCTGCTGCAGAAGCTGCTCTCTCTCTTTTCCAGTTTGCACATCGTTGTTAGCCCTGCCCTCCGACAGCGCGCTCTGAGACTCCTGTCTGCGCACCTTTGTGTCACGAAGCTCTAGACAAACGCGCACTTGGGATGTTTAAAAGACAGCAAAACATTAAGCAGAGGTTCACTAAAGTTAAAGGACAGTTTTAAAAATTCATTAAGAGGCCCATTTATTCATCAGAGGCCACAGTATCTTTATTTCTTCAGATTATTGAGTTTTGTTTCATTTTTTTGTCAGAGTCTGGGTAGCTGAATGAATTGCTTTGTAAATTTATTACCTCTGCCTAATCTGTAGGAACTGTATTTGGAAATACTATTATCTCACTCATCCTGGGGTTTGTATTTGCTATGCTTTCTCATGTTTGGCATGTATTACTTATCTAAAACTAATAACACATTTGAATGTTGCTATCTGTTTGTATTTCTGAACTTCTTAAACTGAAATTTTTATAGGTAGAGTTGTATCACTTAGGGTTTTATTTCAGCATCACATCAGAATATGTTATTTTTTCTTAGATTCGCCCCTTAGCCTACTGGTTTTGTTGTAATACCTGATTTCTATCACAATCCCTTGTCTGCAAGAGTTAACAAAAGTTAGATTTAGATTTTAGTTTGCAGAAAATATATCTACAATGAAAAGGATTACTTTGTCAATAGAAATTTAAGAGATAGTCCTAGTTATGGTGAAAATAATAATCTTTGGGTCTATTTTTCTTTCTTTTTAAATAAAAGTACTTGGACTTAGTACAACCTCTAGGAAAAGTCTTGCCTTTTTATTAGAGAAAATATGATCAGCATTTCAGTTTTAAAAGAGCTATTAGTGAATAGGTAGTACCTAGCCCCATCTGTTTAGGTTCATTGTGACAAACTTTGTCCAGTCATTTGGGCCAAGTCCTTTCTCCCCAAACACTGATGCTTGTATTCCTACTGTAGATGAAACCATCACATTAGAAAAAAGTATTTAGTGTTAATTTATGTGCCAAATTCAGATGATGATGTCGTTGTTGTTGTTACAGCTTTCAGTGTCATAACACGGAAGGGAATGGAAAGAGGTGACTAAGAAAATGAGTTCTGTTATAATCAATATTTCTGATTAAATAAATCAGCCATGCCTGCCCAGGCTGCTGTCGTGCAAGGTAGTTAAGAACAGAGGATGAAGTGGAGATGGTGGGTTGCTTATTACCACAAAGACTTCTGCTTCAGATTAGGATTTGTTGTCTAAATGCTTGGATCAGTCAGCCTTTACTGCTTGTTTTACAACTTAGAAGCAGTGTAGTGGCTGCAAACATGCCAGAGCTATTTTTGATGGTTGCACTAAACTTGCTGTTGACAAGTTTCAGACTTCTTGATTTTGTTTGTTTCTTCATTTTATTAGTTACAAGTAAGCTGAAAGTCACTCGTTGCTGTCCCAGTGTAATCAGTAGTTCCACGGTGGACAGTTGAACGTGAGTCTGTCATCTTCAGATGCACATTTGAAAAGAAAAAAAAAATTTCTTGGAACCATCTCATTTAATTATCTGGGGGGAAATCCAAGCAATTAAGCTCTCTGGGTGGTAATAAAGTACTTTCTAAAGGACAAGTGCTATGACACCATGTATGAATGTAATTCTCTTAGTATTTTACCTCTGACTATTTGGTGTCTTAACACTGCGCTTTCTATCTCAGGGGTTGTCTGCAAACCAAAACTGACACATTCTGTGGTTAGTCTACATTTTTTTTTTAATAGAATGCTTTGGTTTTGTTATATTTCTTTGCTCTCCTTTTGCCTTCTGTAGGTATAACTAGTCTCCATGAACTTCCCTTTGAAAGAGCCTGTAAAAGTCAAGTGAGTCTAAACGTGCTCTTTGAAGTAGCAGCAACACTGGGAGTGTATACTCTGTTATATAGAAATAAATTGTCCTTGCTATTTTCTTACATTTAGCTTTGCTAAATTGTATATAATTTGATTAAGACCATAGGAAATTTACTTTCTGCATGGTAAGATGACCCAACAAATATTCCATTTTGCTTAATAATGTACACACAGTACATTATTTTTTCTACTTGTAGATGGATTTAGTCACAGATAACTGTCTGTTCCCTGCTGAAACTGAAGAAATCTAGTTTTTTTTGTGAACATTTTTGTGGTCTTATGGATAAAGGTACATAAAGATTTTCGCAGCGGGCTCAGTGGCTCAAGTGGCTGCATTTATTATCAGTGTGCTAAGTTTTGATGATTGGACCAGACCTTTTTAAGCAGAGTTTGAGGGCATCAGACAATGGAAATGTGCTGTAACTAAGTAGCATGTGAATCAGCTGACTGTAAAATGTTTTGCTGGGAACGTATTTTAGCTACATTTTACTTCGGACAGATTATGATTAAATAATCCACCTGTGCATCAGTTAGTAGATGCTGCAGGGTTTCTTACAATTTACATGAACATTTTGCGCAGTCTTTGTTATAAATTTTCAGAAGACTATACTCTTTACTTTGAAGGACTATTTTTAAATTATACCTCATTTAGCTAACTAGTATTCTAATACCTGGTATAAAAACAGTGAGCCAGCCTTTAAGCATCAACACAATTTAGATCGTATGTTTTGTTTGTTTTGTTTTGAGTTGAAGGCCTCCTTGGGAAGAGGTAGATGATAGCTTTATTTAGAGTAGAGCATACATGTTATTCCAGCAGTGTAAAAAAAAGTATTATCTCCCTGTCCCCATTAATACATTTAGCTGTGCAATATAGATACATTTTTGCAGAAGCTTCTAAGTAAAAGATTATAACTCCATTTTACTGAAAGTCTGTATTAAGGCTTATAAAGTTTTTCCTGTGATTAGTAAATGATACATTTAAGCGGACCTTCTTTTCAAGTTTATGACTTAGACTCCTTTGTAAGTTTAATTCTTAATCTTTAAAGATGAGCTTCCAAGCTTAAAAATTTTAAACTGTATTTCATTATGTTGCACTTATCTCAAATTTTAAGCAATTTTTTAGACTTTTTTAACATTCCCTTTTCTTTTTTGTTACACTGAAAGTAGAGAGGAATGTCTAAAAATGAAATCCCTTATTGTAAAAGGACCTAGAAAGACCGGATATACTAATAACATTTCAAATCCTAGCAAAATTTTATAGTAGGATCAGCCTTTCTTTAGACTACTAAAACTAATGGGTGTCAGGGTCGCTATGAAAAAAATCTAAATGACCTAAATGTGTGTAAATGAAAATGAGCAATTATTTTAGGGATATTTTCAGATCTTACTTCATTTCTTGAAATGTGTGCCATATGCAGTTGCATTTCTTGTTGCCAAGATCTCATAGAACTTCTTCATTTTTTACCTTGGAAAAAATGTGAATTTAATTATGATAGTTCATTCCTATGCCTTACAGATAGGTTTTATTTTGTTTGCAGCTGACACTGTAGGTCCTTTAATACAAAACACCATAAACTGTTCGACTAAAATCATGCCCCTAATGAGAACTACCTAGTTCTCCCCAAGAATTATCCTACAACGTATGTTTAGACATATTTTATTTCTGCTTCAGTGGCTGAATGTGAAAATCGCCTGCAGATAAAATGGACCTGTCATGTGGTTGATCTTGTTTAAGCCAACTCATTAACTATGTACTGATAATGATGCTGTGGTTTTTTAAAAAATGGATTTTATTCCAGGTGAACTTTTTTTTTTTTTACAATAATGTTCATCTAAAATAAAAACTACATAATGAAAAAGTTACTGACTCTCTGAGGTAATGTTGCACATTTTTCAATGGTTCTGTAAATTTGCTAAGTGTATGGCTCAAGCCATGGGAAACTTGTTATATGTTAGGAAACTATATCTCACCTAGAGTTATTTAAAGACTTATAGAAATGGCCAGACTTCCCACTCATACTCAGTTCAGAATACCCTGAGCTTATTCTGTTGCAGAACCTGCAGCCTTAAATTGTTTGTCCTGCCCTTTTTATTCCTTGCAGATGTAGTTTCTGATGTTCTGTTTCCTCTGAGAAATAAGAGTGGGTGGCACCAGCCCTGCTTCTAGTGTCAGCCTTTTCACTCATCTCACAACCATTTCAAATTTCCAGCATTTTTTCAAGCTTCCTACCTCTTTTCTCTCACTCTTGGAGAGAGTAGTAGTTTCTCCGGTTTCTTATGGCTGATTTATGCTCTCCTTGTCTTTCTCTTGCATTCTTTTTTTTTTTTTTTTTTTTTGAGACAGGGTCTCACTATGCAGTTCAGTGGCCTTGAGCTCACTTTGTGGCCCAGGCTGGCCTCAAACTCGAAACGATTCTCGTGCCTCAGCCTCCTGAGTGCTAGGATTACAGGCATGTGCCACCATGTGCAGCTTCTTAACACATTCATAATGGAGCCATAGTTTATATGTCTGCCTTCCAGGCAGCTTGGATTTGAATTCCATTGTCATGTTAAATAGCTAACCACAGGTGGTTCAAGCCACCCAGTGGGACAGTTATACATGTATTATCCATATTCAAGCCAGTGGGAATGTGTCTTCTTACATTGCTTTAAAAAAAAAAAAAATCAGTACTGTGTATAAGCTGCAGCTGAATTTACTGTAAGAGTATGTGATTGTTACTTTGGCCTCCAGGGTGTTTTTTGTTTGATTTTTTTTGAGACAGGGTGTTGCTATGCAGTTCAGGCTGGCCTTGAGCTCACTTTGTAGTCCAAGCTGGTCTTGAACTTGCAACAATCCTCCTACCTCAGCCTCCTGAGTGCTGGGATTATAGGCGTGCACCACGGTGCCCGGCTCTGGTCTCTAATTTCTAAGTGTTTCTTCTTGGAGATTCTCATCCTACACCGCTAATGAAATCAGTGCTTAATAAGACCTAGGAGTAGGTCCTCAGATGGACTCGTGTAGGGCTGGTAGCTTCACTCTGTCCTACCATGGAGTCTCCTTACTGTGCCTAGCAGTAAGAAAACTATATCACTTCTTACCAAGGAAGCTAGATGGGTCCCTCCATCCTGGACATCCTGTCTACCCTCTACCAAAGCCAAATTTCCCTTTTCCTACCACACGTGTACTCAAAAACTCGTCAGACTGGCTTTTATTCCTGTATCTTAGAGTCACAGCTAGATCTAGTGGACACATTGCACCTTTTACCGGTACCTTATGGAACCTTTCAACAGCCCTTCTTTCCGAAAAAGTTTTTCCCCTTGGCTTCCAGGATAACACATGCCGTTTTCCTCATCACCCTCTTGGCTGCTCCGTTTTTAGTTCTTTTGGGGTTCCTCCTGTCATCCCCTAAGGTTGCTTCTGGCATGGGCCCTGTTCTTGCTTTCCTGACTCTTAAGTGATTCTACCTGCTCTTAAGAAATCGACTTAGTCTGGAGTCTTAATTCTAGATTTTTAGTCCAAGTCTCCCTGATCCTCTAAGTGTAGCTGCCTTTGAATACCTTGCCACCGAGTCCTGCAAACGTCTAAATTTCAGGGTATCCAAAGTGATGCCCGTCATTGTGTCTACTTCCCCTCTTGTCTGTCCGTCTGCGCAACCACCGTTTAAGGCAGACCTCTCCAGAGGCCGCTGTCTTCGACAGTTCCGTCTCTCCCTGCAATCCAGTTCATTAACCACTGGCTTCTGTTCGTGCAGTTCCTAAGTCTCTCTTAAATGTGTGTTTCCATACTCCTGCTACTTTCCTGATTTAAGAATCTCAGAAATTTAACAGTATATAAGTTCCACTTTTCAAAGTACTCATTCATTGACAAGATACTCAGTGAAATCCCTTCCTTCCGGAAGTTTGCACTCTAAGGAGAAAGCAAAATGAGCGAATGAGTACCTAGACTGTCAGAAAGCCGCGCTGGGAGATGTTACTGTTGCTCTAGGGTAGTCAGAACATGCCTTTTTGAAGATTTGGGAGTGAAATTAAAATGAGCACGCCGTAACAACCCTGAAAAGGACGGCGTCTTCCACCACTATTTCGTCTTTTCCATTTGTGGGCTATTGCCTGGGTCACTGTTAATCCAGTGAAGCATGATGCTCCAGCAACTATGCAATTTTTTAAAAAGTGCTTTAAAAAAGATTCCATTATTTAAAAAGGAATCTCGTCTCCGCCCGGCGCTGTTTTTTAGTTGAGTCTTTCTTCCTTCCCGGTGTAGGAGGCTCTCAAGGGGGCTGGTGCCTCGGGATCAGGAGTGGCGGCGCAGCCGGGACACTCCCAGACGTCAAGTGGCGCAAGGTGGACCGGTTTGAGAGTAGCGCTGCATGGCTGGGGATTTAGCTCAGCGGCAAAGCGCCTGCCTAGCAAGCGCAAGGTCGTGAGTTCGGTTCCCGGTACCGAAGGAAAACCAAAAAAAAAAGGTGGACCCGTTTGAGAGTAGCGCTGCAACTGTCAGGGAAACCACCTCGCCGCCAGCCCAGATCCTTCTCGGGCGTGCCCTGGCCCCGCCCCGCGTCCGCCCCGCCCCCACCGCACTAGGTCCCGAAGGCGCCTGGGGCCCTCTAGACCCCGCCCCCGAGTGACGACACCAGAGGCTCCGCCCCCTGCCGGCCCCAGCCCGCTCGCCCCGCCCCCTCCCGTGGCCCCGCCCTGTTCTGACCGCGCCGGGCGACCGCGCGGCTCCTCCCCGTCCCTCCGCGCCCGCCCGGGCCCCTCGCGTCCAGTCCGCGTCCCTGCGCTGGCTTCCGCGGTCGCCATGACGGCGGCCGTGTTTTTCGGCTGCGCCTTCATTGCCTTCGGGCCGGCGCTCGCCCTCTACGTCTTCACCATCGCCACAGAGCCGCTGCGTATCATCTTCCTCATCGCCGGGTGAGGCGCTGCGCGGGAAACCCGGGCGCGGGGCGCCCCTGCCCCGCCGGGCTCGGCGACCCTGCGGCCCCCAAACGGCCAGACCTGGGGGGCGCGCGCGAGGCTGGCAGCGCGGCGGGGCGGGCGGGGCCGGTGGGCTCCCGAGCGAGCTGCAGCCGCGAGGCGCTGAGGACCTCTTGTGGCCCGGATGAGCAGCGGGTGGCGGAGTTCGCCCGGGCGCCCTTCCCGTTTCTGCCGATGGAGACCTAGTTTGCCCCGTTCCCGCGGCGCCTGCAGTCTCCAGGCTGGAGGCCCTCAGCGTCGGGACAGCAGGTCTCCCCTGTCCCCGCGGAGTGAGCTGGGGACCAGGCGCTGCCTGCTGCGCGCTCTGCACCCCGGGTCCGCCGAGCCCGGAGGTGCACGGGGTAGAACTGGGCTCGGGTTTTTGTTTTGTTTCGAGACAGGATCTTGCTGTGTAGTGCAGGCTGGTCTCGAGCTCGCTGATGTAGCCCAGGCTGGCCTCGAATTCAGGGTGATCCCTCTGCCTCGGCCTCCCGAGTGCTAGAATTACGGGCACGCACCACCCCGCCCGGCGTTGGGCTCAGCTTTTTAATAGCGCCGTCTGGAATTTGAAATGTGCGGCAGAAGGTGGAAGGAAACCTGTGAAAATACATGCGCCTGAGCCTGCATCGCCTGCTGGGAGCTTGGCAATTGCCGAATTTTGGCGGTGAATGTGGTCATAACCTCCGTTTTCTCCTTCCTGACAGCTCTTCCTGGGGTGTGCGCCGGCTTCGGCAGTGATTCCCACTTTTTTGAACTTCTTCACTTCCCACAATTGCAGTGAAAGTGCTGAATTGCCTGTTGTTTAAAAACAATAGGGAGGCTGAGGCAAGAGGGTCTTTGTGGGTTCGAGACCTGCCTGGGCTACAAAGTGAGCTCAAGGCTGGCCTGAACTGCATACGAGACCTGTCTCAAAAAGACCGAAAAAAAAAAGGGATTTGGGAGAGGTCTCTAAAGCTTGCTAAAATCATTAAAATCCACAGGAATGTTTTAAGAATCAGGCCTCGGAAACGGATCTAGATCAGAGCTCAGAGTTTTAACCTGTGGATTTTGTGCCAAGTACTCTTAATAGAGATATAGGTCCCCCCCTCCACCCCCGCTTATCTTTTCATATAGCTGATCATTAAATCCGTAATTTCTGGTAGGTTTTGTGTCCGTGGAAACAAAACTTGAAACAGTTACAGGTTGTTTTGTTGCTTTGGCACATCGGTGGGAAACCATTGATTAGGAAGAGTAGTGAATAACCAGATTTCCAGCGAGGAAAGAATACAGTCTGCAGAGGAACATCATATGCTCGCTGAAAACAAGTAATTGTTGGGCAGATCCTACCTTCCTCGTGGACTACATGGGTGTCTCGGCGGGGAAAATGCATCTTGTTTAATGATCCAGAGCCTCACTTTGTGGAAAATATTTTTTCTCTGATTAAAAAGTCAAGAAATGTATTCCTTCCTAAGCAGGTTTTTTTTTTTTTTTCAACTTTAATTGATTATTAATCCTGTGCTTATGTTCACTTGTAATTTTTGTGTATCTTAATTTTCAGAGCTTTCTTCTGGTTGGTGTCTCTACTGATTTCCTCACTTTTTTGGTTCCTAGCAAGACTCATTATTGAAAACAAAGATGGGCCAACACAAAAATATCTGCTAGTCTTTGGGGTGTTGCTCTCCGTCTTTATCCAAGAAATGTTCCGGTTTGCATATTATAGACTTCTAAAGTAAGTTGCTTGTTTTATTTTTTCCAGTTATATTTCAGTCGTGTTTGGTAGTTTGAAACATTAATATCCTGTGATATTTGAGGGTCTATTCTTTCCCACATGGTTCTAAGCAAAGGGATCGGCACACTTCTAGCTTGCAAGTATTGAGTATTCTTTTAACTTGTGGATATTTCTTCCTTTATTCATTCATTCAAAAAATATTTCTTGAGAAATTACTCAGTACAGTATCAGATACTGTCCTAGGCATTGGGGATACATTGGTAATGAAAAGACTCTCTGGCTTCATGGACCTTGTATTGGTCAAGAAATGAATGAACAAGAAAATAACCTTTTATGTTAGAAGAAATGCCATGCAGAAAAATAATCCAGAAAATCACTGAAACAAAAAAAGCCCTTCCCACTTGGAATTTGTGATTTTTCCTACCACCTAAAATAAATAATTCTTATGGAGATTATGCCTTCCATTACAGTATTTTGAAAACAGGTGTTCATGTTGTAGTATTTCCCATGGTTTCAAATCTGTGAAATAAAAATGCATTTTAAGAAAGGCCTTATGCGCAAGCTTTGCTTTAGGGCCCCAAAATTTGCCCTCTCTGTGACCTCACATGAAGCCACTGATTTGAAACACAACGTGAACTTGGAACCATATTTTCTTTCAAGCAGTTGTGAAATTGGCTTTGATTATGCAGTAAAACTAGAGTGATAAATGTGGAATCTTTTTTCATTTCTGCAAATGAGGTAATTACAGCTCTCCATCCATTTAGAAGATACAATCCGGATTAAACATCTATAACATCTCTCAGTGAGCTTCTGATAAATTGTTGTTGCCGATATACTAGACCTTCTATATTTTTACTTTTGCTTTTCATAATAGATTTTGAGTTCTCTTTTCATAATGGAACAATTAGATATTACAAATTGAAAACCAGGAAGCCATTGCCTAGAAACAAAAGTAATTTCTTAGCCAAGGTTTAAAAATGGAATTCCCATTAGTTCCTGGAAATTTTAAAGAGCAACAAATAGCAGAAGTAACATTTAAAGCCGGACATCATAGTATATTCCTGTTGTCCCACCTCTTGCAGAGGTGGAGGCGGGAATATTCTCCTGAGGCCAGTCTAGGCCACAGAGTGAGACTCTGTGTCAAAGAAAAAGTAACATTTTAATTTTCACAGAAATACAATATCCCTAAGAGATGGATGTGTGATTGTGGTTAAAATGTGTCAAGAGAGCGGGAAATGGTGGCACAGGCCTGTAATCCCAGCACTTGGGAGGCTGAGGCAGGAGGATTGTTGCGAGTTGGAGGCCAGCCCGGGCTACAAAGTGAGCTCAAGGCCATCCTAAACTGCATAGTGACACCCTGTCTCAAAAAGACAATAAGTAAGTAAGTCAGTAAATAAATGAATAAAATGTGTCCAGTATACAGCAGTCACTACCATCCAACAGTGTTTAATTTTGACTGTAGAATATTATTAAGGTAGTCAGAATCATTTTCTTACCTCTGCCCTCTCACCATGTATATGAAATTTTTGCCACATGATTTTCATTGTGTCACTTTAAAGGCTAAACATTCCTCATTTCTTCATGGGGATCTCAGAAGACCATGGACATGCCCCTTCGGCCAGTGCCTGGTTTTTACCTGTGCTCAGGATCCAGGGTTGTATTCTGTGGTGTGGTCTTAAGTAGTACCCTTGCCTACACACTATGCTTTTTTTCTTTTTTGTACCAGGAATCGAACTCAGGACCTCATACTTGCCAGGCAGGCGCTGTGCCACTGAGTTAAATCCCTGGCCCAAGGACACTGTGTTTTTAATAACTCAGCTTCACATCTCATTGGGTTTTCCTGTCAGCGACATCATTGCTCCCATTGGTTTTGTAATGAGCCAATTAATTTTTTGTGAAATGGTTCTAAATTTTTAAAAAGTTAATTTCTACTACACAATTTCGCAGGAAGACATGGGTTTAGTAACTTTTTAGACCCCATATGTTTTAAAACCCGAGACTTACCAGAGTGCCTAAGTGAGTACCTGCTGTTCTTCCCTACCTTCTTCTTTGTGGTTTCCACCTGAAGTGGCAGCCTTTTCTTGGCACTGAGCTGTGGCTCCAGAGGACTATAAGCCGAGCACAGGTCCACATTTTTAACGAAGGCAGTTAAGGGAGTAGGACTGCGCAAGGAAAGAAGTTCGCAAACTCAAGCTAGGAAGTTCAGAGAAGCCTCTTTGACCTCCTGGGGAAGCCGCATGTGCTTCCCTAAAAGGACTTGGGAAAATTTGCAGAGAGATGGCAAGATACGCTTGTCAGGTGCCTTTGTAGTAGTTTTACAGTGTGTCTTTAGTAAGCCTTTGAAATATTATAGAGTTTTCCTAGCAAATTTTTGAAATGTTGGATGTTATGTAATTGTGTTAAAATAAGTTTGGCAATTTTTGTAATACTTTATTGATGACTAGAATTTAGATGGTTAATTTAAATTGTTCTCTTATGGTATACTACATTCAAATACAGAGACATGAGTGCATAGTGACTTTCAACCTGATAAAACCTTGCATAGTGACAAACTGGCCTGTAGCCACAGGTAAGCTCTTTCTACATTAATTTAAAAAAACAAGTTATATTGCCTAAACTATGTGTGTTGCCTAAAACAGTTTAGGTAACCATCACGTTGCCTAAAACTTAATGTTACCTATAATATTTAGACATTAGAATTTTTTCTGTTTGGATTGAAACTTTTTTAACTTAATTTTCTTTTAATACTGATATCATAAATATTTTATAACTTTAGAAAATCACTTATACAAAAAATGTTAATATAACTCTTGCTGCTGGAGTTTTTTGTAGTTTTTACTAATGGAGGTATTGACCCCAGTCCTTGAGTTCTTGCATTGAGCTATGTCCCCAGTTCTGCTACAGATTTTTTTTTTTGAAATAAGAGTCTTGCTATGTATGTAGTTCAGGCTGACCTTGAACTCATTATGTAGTCCAGTCTGGCCTGAAACTCAGGGGGATCCTCTTGCATCAGCCTCCCAAGTGCTGGGATTACAGGTGTGTACCACCACCCCTGGTTCTGCTATAGTTTTTTTTAGAGACATCAGTCTATTTTTATCCTACTGGGTTTTTGTTTTGTTTTGTTTTTTTGATTTTGAGACAGGGTCTCACTATGCAGTTCAAGCTGACCTTGAGTTCACTTTGTAGCCCAGACTGGTCTCAAACTTGCAACAATCCTCCTGCCTCAGCCTCCCGAGTGCTGGGATTACAGATGTGTGCCACCACACCTGGCCATCTTCCAAAATGGTGTACTTAATCTGTGTACGTGTTCCTTGATGTTCTCCCTTTTTAAAAAACTCTTCCTCTTATACATACTTTCAAAAAAGAATAGAACAAATGAGAAGGACTAGGATTTATCAGTTTCTCAAAGTTTGTATTTTAAAAATTGGAATTTTTAATTTTTCACCTCTTTTCCTTGTTCTTCGAAATCAGCTCAAACAAATGTACCAGTTCAGTGAAACGGACAGATTAAAAACACGGCCCCCGTCAGTCATGTGCTGGGCTTCTCAGGAACAAGGAAGCGGTGATGTTTTGTGCTTTCTCACTTCCCGGTGTGGGAGTGCATAACGTTTCCTCCCACAGCACAGAATGCGGAAGTTTACTAAACTTTTGAGTTTATGTATTTACTACATTTGTGAGAGCACTACTTTGCTTTGCCAGATAGTGAATATCCTTTATTCGAACTACAATTTATTTAAAACAAGTCCTCCACATTTATTGATTTTTCTATATTTATGCCTGTGCTAATGGGGATTATTACTATTACATGTATGACTCTTAAGCTTTAATTAGTCTTTAACAGCAACCCTGTGGCAGGTAACTTTATTTTATTTAGGAAAAGTGGACAGTTTAATTGACTACTATGCCAAAGAAATAGGTAGAGTCCCTTAAATTTCTAGCTCATGTCCTGGCAACCCAACAGTGCTTCCAGCTTGTTCTGAGTCTAGAAAAGCAAAGGACCATTTTCATTATGCATACTACTGTTTTGCTTGAAATCTGCATTGCCTTAATGTAATCGATGGTATTTGTACTTGTACAGTAAAGAACAGTTAAACGATAATGAACGTACATACCTTGAAATTTAAATTAATACAGTGCCCAGAAAAATAAGTATGTTCTAGTTAATTTAATTGTCTCTTTGTAGAGTTAACCTAACTCCCTTATGTTTCAGTGCTTGCTGATAAATCATTCTAAAGTGTTGTGATTCCTTTATTATTGTAATAAACATACTTTATAGTAATATAACTGAAATATTCACCAGGACAGGCTTTTATGCAGTTGCAGAGCATCTAGCCAGCGGGGGTTAGGGGCAGTGACAGTAGTGGACCGGAGCAGCTGCACCTAGCCTTTGTCATGTCTGCGTGGGTGGTGGGGACTCATAGTCAGGTTGTGGCTTGGCTTTAACAGTAGCATGGACGTGGTCATGCTGAAAATCCTTCCTTATTGAACAGTATTTTACCCTTTCACTCAGTATTCATTTATCTCCTATTCTGATAATAGCATTTTATTCTGTGGACTTTAATAAGAGTATTAGGGTATGAGAGTGTTTTTCGCCTCAAGCCTAAGAGGTGATGTGGAATAAATACGTAAAATATTTTCAAATATTTTTGATTATATGATTCATAGCATACCCATGCAAGACCCTTTGTAGGATTCAAGAGTAAGGAGGGATTAATGATTACCAACCACTGGGAGAGGCAGCTTTAAGAATTGCTGCCCTGGGGCTAGGGATTTAGCTCAGCAGCACAGTGCCTGCCTGGCAAGTGTGAGGTTGTAAGTTCAATTCCCGGTACTGGAAAAAAAAAACCAAAAAAAGAATTGTTACCTGGAGACTGGAGCATGGCTCACTGCTAGTGCGTGTGCTTAGCATGTATGAGGCCTGGGTTCAGTCCCCAGTACCAAAAGGAAAAAAAAAAAACAAACTGGACTGGCCTTTGAAGGATGAGAATAGCTTTAGTTCTGTGGAGTACGAGGCAGAAGGGCGGTGGCAGCATAACTGTAGTCCTGTGGGGATGAAGACATGGTGTTTTGGGAAGAGGAAAAAATTCAGCATGGTAAATTCCACAGGATATTGAGGTAAATATTGACCTCAGAAAATAGTGTTGCTTTTTTTCTTGTTAAGCTGAATCCCTGATGGCTTATTTGTATATACTGTATATTTCTCTTATGTGACTGCCAGATGAAAGGCAGAAGTTAGTTGGAAATTTCAGTTGACTTGACTTTCTTGAAAATACGTTGGGTTTTGTTTAAATGGAGTCTAGAACAGTATGACCGGATCAGAAAGCTCAGTAAATTCTGCTTTTGAAGTGTCTCATATACTGTTCTAATGCACACTTTTCTCTTCGCTTTTTTTTTTTTTTTCTTTTTTTATATGTATGGCTTAATTTTAGGAAAGCCAGTGAGGGTTTGAAGACCATAAATCCAGATGAGGCAGCACCCTCTATGCAATTGCTGGCCTATGGTAAGTTAGAACTGCATGGTGTCATTGAGAAAAAGAAAATCGGACTTGACATAAAAGCCATTTTCATGATTATTTCTGTCTTTTTGAGACAGAGTCTCACTGCGCAGTTCAGGCTGGCCTTGAGCTCACTTTGTAGCCCAGGCTGGTCTCAAACTCTCAATGATCCTCCTGCCTCAGCCTCCCGAGTGCTGGGATTACAGGCTTGTGCTACCAGGCCCGGCAGTTTTCATGTTTTATGTCTTTATAAATGCAAAGCACTATTTTATTACTGCTTTGGCCTGTCTATCATATGTATTTTTCCTGGTTTGTTATGTAAAAGAAAGTGATTGCTGATGACCCCTATCTGTACGCCTGTGCCCATTAAATATTAACCATGTTTGAATGTTAGCTTTTTGACACTCCGCTTAACAATTTTGAAGTGATGTAACTGTCACTTTTTGTTTACCATGACATCGGCTGTACTAGGAAGGCTCTTCATATTAATGCAGTTGCTATCCCTGCATATTGTGCTTTCAAGATTATACTTCAGTCTTGGGTCAGGGTGCCTCAGTTGAGTCACATCACTGGCCCAGGAATCACACCTTCAAGTGCAGTATTACTCCCCCAGGACCAGGTCCAGTTCTAAGCCAACAAACTTCACTCTGTAGACTCTGTTCACACAGCACAAGCCGCAGCGTCCCTGTTGTAGCCTCTCTGACTCACCTATTTCTGCTGAGCTTTTCTAGATCTTTTGTTCCTTTTTTCACTTTCTCTGCTGCATCCATTGTTCGTTTTCGTTTTCTCTTCCTCCTCCTTGCTCATCATTTAGCCAGGCACATACCTTTCCAGAATCAGTTGCCCCCTCCTCAGTAACACCGCCTGTTCATACCCCTTCAACAAAATAGCATTCCTAGGCCTTAGAAATGTGATCTGGAGAGAAATCACAGCAGGAAAAGGGTTTAACAGTGTTTTCTTTCTCTCTAGTTTCTGGCTTGGGCTTTGGAATCATGAGTGGAGTGTTTTCCTTTGTGAATACCTTGTCTAACTCCTTGGGGCCAGGGACGGTGGGCATCCATGGAGATTCCCCTCAGTTCTTCCTCAACTCAGGTACGTTTCTGGTCGCTGGGAATATTAAGGCTTCTACTCTAAGTGATCTGACCTTAGTGAAGTTCACTGTCTTAGAAATTTGAGCCAGTAGGAGTTTATATTATGCCTTTAAAGGCAAAATACTCTTAGGCATTCTAAAGTGAGGGAACTAGGAAAATAAAAACTTTACTGAAAAGTTTTTAGACTTTGAGTACAATTTAGCTTGCTTAATATTTTTATTGTGCTGTAGTAGCACTGTTACTGTATCGTTAAACTATTAGAAGTTCATTTTTATAAGCTATACGTTCTTTTCCATTTTTGTGACATTATGTTTATGTTCAAGATAAGTCCTAATCTTTAATGGGTAATTCGTAATTTAATCTTGAAATTGAGAGGAAAAGAGTAATAAATGAATTGATCTTTTTATCCAAAGATAGCATATGAAAGGACAACTCATTTCAAATTACTTTTTCTTCTGTTAGCTAAAAATTGTCATCAGGGTGCAATGATCACACATTTGACTTAGTAATATGTATAAGTTACATAAAACTTCAAAGTTCCACACAAAGAGACTTTTTAAAATAGAGGGAAAAAAATCCACTACATTTTTAGTTATTTTCACAACAGTTATGCCACTAAAATAAGTGACCTCACACATCCATTTGTTCAGTTACATCATTATTAACATTTGTTCTAAAGCTCTTGAAGGAGCTTGCCCTGTAGTGGAGGGGAGAGACAAAAGAAGTGGATATTTGCAGACATTTCAGGCGGAGTTTAAAATAATAAGGAAAGTGTGAAGAGGAATGACCAATTTTTAAGAATTTGCTGCAGTTGAGAAACATCCTGCGTGTTGAAGTAATAATGTCTACACTCAGTGGGCATTCTTCCCCCACTGTCAGGTGATTCTTTGTTTCTGTTCAGTTCAGGCCGGGGCATCTCCTGTCTAGATTACTTCCATTATTTCCCAGCTGGTTACTCTTTCCTTGACATACTTTGCATCTGAATCCATCCCGTATGCAGCCACCAAACTAATATTCCACTTCGAAAGGTTGTCAGGAGCACTTTACTTTCTGTTGTCTACACAAGTTAAAAATCAAGGCCCTTTAACACGGCTACAATTAGAGGATAGGAACTGTGTTAGTGGGTCAGTCTTATTTAGTGGTGCCTAATTTAACAGCGCGAATTATCTTTCTTGTAGGTATTCTATAATGGCAATAGAAACCTCAGTGGAAATACTCCAGAACTAGAATATTCCTGGCAAATCTGTTAACGATTATATGGAGAGTTAGGTTTTTAAAACAAATGTTGTAGTAATAGTTAAATTCTGTAGAGTTCATATAAATTAATCAGCCACATGAGGCATGCTGCTACTACATTTTTGTCTGTTGTCCTGCAGTCCGTTGTTACCTTGCTATAGAAGCTGTTTTCTGTCCTCAAATTTCTCCAGCTTCTTCCACTAGATGGTGTTAGAGTCCTCTGGTAAACTAGGCTGTTTTCAAAAGTCCAGGTTAAAATTTCTCTTCCAATGACTTGCCTTGTCTGGTGGATTCATTCTGTTGGCGTTCATGGAGTTGCAGTCCTCGTTCTTTCTTTCTGGAACGTCCTTCAGAACATTTTGGAGTGCTGATTTGCTGGTCATGAATTTCTTCAAGTGTTCTTTTTCATGGAAGTATCTTTTTCTTCATCAATTTTAGAAGAGTTCTGTGGAGTACATCAATCTAGGGCCTTCTGTTCTCCTTTTTTTCTTGTGCCCCCCCCCCTTGTTCCCCTTCTCACCTAAACATCTTCTACCCATTTCCCAATCTCTATTACACATTTTGGTCCTTATTTACACTTTTGATTTCTCATGCCAGAGAAATAATGTGGTATTTAAACATGTGTGTCTGATTTATTTCACTTAAGAATATGATCTCAGCGTACATCCATTTAGTTGGAAATGTCTCAATCTTATCTTTCTTTATGGCAGAGTAGTATGCCATTGTATAAAAAACAAAACCCCACATCTTTATCCATTCATCTGTTGATGGGCATTTGGGCTCTTTGTAAGGTTTAGCTATTGCAAAGTGGGCTGCTGTAAACATGGGTGTGCATATATTCCCGTGGTGTGATGCTTTTAATTCTTTTGGGACGATACCAAGAAGTGAAATAGGTGGTTCAAATGGAACCTCTAGTTTCAGTTTTTTGAGGAACCTCCACACTGGTTTCCACAGTGGTTGTATCAGTCTATACGCCCACCAGCGGTGCAGAAGGGTTCCTTTTACCCATGCCTCCAACCCGACAGCACTGTCAGCATTTGTTATTGGTTGATTTCTTGATACAGACATTTTTTTTCTGGAGTGAGATGGAATCTCAGTGTTTTAATTTGCATCTCTGGAATGCAGCGTTACTCTTTTAGAAGAGAGTATAAGAAAGATTTGTAGCATCCTCAGGGTTTATTGTAATTTCTATGAATTCAAGGAAAAATTCCACATTCAGTAAGATTTCTCAATGCCTTTAACTAAGTCAGGACAGACTAACCATGCTGTGAATAATACTTGTAGAATGAAATAACAGTTATTTTATCATATGCAAATTTCTTCCTATTACAGCATCATTTGCTTTGGTTGGGTTTGGGTTTGGGATTTCTTTTTTTTTTTTTTTTTGAGACAGAGTTTCACTGTGTAGTTCAGGCCAGGCTTGAAATCACTAGATAGCCTGTGCTGATCTCAAACTTGCAGCGATCCTTCTGCCTCAGCCTCCTCAGTACTGGGATTATAGGTGTGCACCCACCATGCCTGGCCCAACATTATTCTTTGAGGCATAAGCTTTGAATTATACATTTAAGAAATTTTTGTTTCAAGCATAACCCCAAATTTATACATATTTGTAGTTATATGTTATTTGTAATAGCTGTTATTACCATTTATTTAGACACAAGCCCATTTTTAATTTTGCAGTTAAATTTATGAGTTTATATGTTTAACATATTCCATCATAAATGCCTAAGTAAGAATCAGAATAAGGACATTTAATAAGTGTATCTTCTGTGTTAGTGTGAGTTAATGCAGATACATACTACATGATATCTGTACAAACATGACTTTTTATGTTACAGACAGGCATGGTTTAATAATGTATGTGGCTGAGTTAATTCTTTTTTGTTTGTAGCTGTGTAACAGGCTGGTGTTAAATCACTAGAATCATTGCCATTTCATAGAAACACTGTGTATAGATGAAAGTATAGGAATTAGAATCTTAAAGTGTTCTCTTGGCTGGCTAAGTTAGTATTTGGGGTAAGTCCATTTGGTTATTTAACTACTCATTCCACAAATAATTATTAAAATTTTTATTGAGCAGGAATTACACCAAGTTATGAAAATATAAGGCAGTTAATATCCGTACCTTCCACCCACAGTGAGGAACAAAGACCGACAGCTAACTATGACTAAGCATAGGAAGCCTGCAGTGAGGAACGGAGGCACGAGCGCTGCCTTTGTTGCATTTACCACAGTTGTGGTTAATCGGCTAGTGATGTAGTTAGTTGTTTAACGCTCTGGTCGTGTACTAAGCCGTGTAAGTACAAGGACCTCTGTTCCCTGTGGTGTTCCCAGCACTTGGGAGCCCTTGTTTCTCCACGGCACTCAATAAATATTTACTGAAAATTGAAAGCAAGGCACAGCTTATGGAGGAAGTGCCGTCTGAGTAGAGATTTACTTAAAGATAAACATTAGCTAGGCAGACAAAGAAAGGAGATAGGCCCCTTCCCTGCAGGCTGCGAGGTAAGAGACTGCGTTCACTGAGAAAAGCACACGCGGTACTTCCATCTGACTCTGAATCTCCTCGTCTTTGGGGAAGGGTAAAAATAATGCCTAGCTCAGGATTGTTGGGCATTAAATGATATTCGATATTTATAGTTCAGTGCTTTGGAAGCTCTAAAGTGGCCTGAGAGTGTTATGTAGGTAGAGAATCTTGTTCTTGTGACTACAGAACGAGTAGGGAATCTGGATTTATCATTCTGAATGACCTCCCTTATACTCTGAGCGAAACGTACCTCTAGTACTCAGTTAAAAAAAAAAATAGCTGATACTGTTTTAAATTCCCGAAGCTGTTTCATTTCTCTTTTCTGGGCAGAGCTCTTATTTAGGTAAGGTTTAAAACTTGAGCCACTATTGCTAAATCCACTAGTGCCACTAGGCAAAATCAGTGCTGGTCAGACCTCATCTGGAGAGCTGCGTTCAGTTGGGAGCATTGTGATTTAACGGAAATGCCAAAGAAGTAAAATTCACACAGATGAAATTGTCAGTGCGGTGAAAGAGCTAGCTCTGTCCTGTTGGATATGGAAGAAAGAGGAATATTGAGTTTGACGAAATATAAAAAAGGAATGTTGGAGATTTGGTGTTTATTTCAGTTTGTCATTTCCTATAATAAAATTATACGCCCACACAGTTGCATGGCCTTGCGGTGGTCAAAATGTACTTTCTTTTTTTTGGGTTTTTTTCTGGTACCGGGAATTGAACTCACAACCTTGTGCTTGCCAGGGAGGCACTGTGCCACTGAGCTAAATCCCCAGCCTCAAAATGTACTTTCCTGCCACTTGACTTTGAGCTCCATCCTGTGACTTGAACTAGTCAGTTAATGGACATGATAAAAGTCAGAGGCTTAAGAAGTACTTCAAAGGTTGGAGCGACATTCTTGCACCTGGGTCCCATGCCCTGAGAAAAACTCACCCTGGATAGTTAATTCCCACTTAGCCTGAACCCTGACTGAACACAGAGCACACTTAGCCTGGCCTGCTGGGAGGAGCCAGATCCGCCACCTGCAGCGGGGCTGGCAGCTGAGCCCAGCCTTCATCAGCAAAGTGCGCAGCATAAGAACAAACCCATTTGATTCAATCTGATGAATGCCTGTTTTCATTCATCTTTTGTGTGTTTTGTTTTGTTTGAGGCAGGGTCTCCCACAATAGTCCAGGCTGGCCTTGAATTTTAAATCCTCCTGTCTCATCCTCTCCATGTGCTGGAATTATAGGCATACACTACCACACC